TAACCTAAGTACTGCCAGCCGGAATTTCCACTGGCGGACGGCAGGCTAAAATAAACTTTAAAATACATCAGTAAGCCAGGATAATTGTGGATTGTGGTTAAATCCCTAAAAGAATCAAATCAGATATTAAGACATGCACTAATTAGAGTAAATAACTCTAGCTCAATACTTCGAAGACTGGCTTGTTTCTTCCAAAAAGAGCTGTTAAATAGCCAAAAGAAGTGAAAAAAGATGAAGAACGGAAGGAAACACGGTGCAGAAAACGAGGAACAGGACGAGGAAACTCGTGAAGGAAAGATTGAACAGGAAGGCAAAGAGGAAATCGATGTATGACAAACAAGAAATAAAACCAAGAGAAATCGAAGAACTGGGAGCATGATAGTTTCTAACGGGAACGCAAACAATTAAACAATTTTGACTGAAAGTTTGATAACATATAAGTACGTTCTCTGCGGTTGATGCTGAATATACTGTATCACTTACTAGGGTAGACAGTTAATCTTGTCAGGAATTACTGTTTTAAGACGGGAACATCCATTTCAATGTAGATTCGTCATACTGTTGCATTCAACGCTGGCAGGTTATGAAAGATCGGTAAATGGGGTTAAAAATTGTGTAGAATATCACACTGACTATCAAGTGAGTCAAGGTGAAGTGCAGCCACAAGAGGCGCTCACATCGAAGAGCATAGCTACACGTAGCATCCACATCAGAATAACCTATTTACCATTTTATCCCCAACTCCACAAATTACTATCCTTTTCTCTGCTGGCTGCGACGAAACAATGTGAGATTAATTCCTTGCTCAAAGGAATTACCGGCTAAAACCAAAATTAACAGCATCCCTGAAGTCAAAAATCAAAGCCCACTTCTTTGCCATTGTGATATTGCCGGAAGATGAATGATGAAGTGATAGCATCTTTCAAAAACACATTTTAAATCTGATAATAATAATTTTGTGCTGAGTAAATTTCGGAATTCCATGTTTAAGTTCACTGGTTAACAGGGATAAATTGGTTCTTAGCCGACTGAAGATGAATAACTGGAACAACTGGTTTATTGGTGAAGTTAGAGAAAATCAGCAATTAAAATTTTATCATAAAACAAATTCTAGGTAGCTTTCACAACAAAAATGGAGTTTAGCATGAACCCGGAAAAACATGAAACAATCAAATTTATTGTGTTTACCTTTAACCCCGCGAATGGCATTAAAACTTGTTTTATAAAGGTACGGAAAGAAACTGACATCATTTACGCTCTTTCATCAGAACGGTGAAGAGCTGTACACTGTCCGGTAGGAAACCTCTCAAGACGAGTCTGAAGTTGTAAACAACTGAGGATACTTTGATCGAATTCCGCGCAAATTGTACGATTGAATTTTCTCCAAATTTTTGGGTCACACCAAAGTTCCATTTCTACTTCACAACATCGCGCTTTTAGTCTTCCTCTTCTTCCTACTTCTTATTAGATGAATCTTGAGAACACGTTTCCTTTGCTACTTCTTGAATGGCACCACTAATTTGCACCATTACTGCGGCTACATTTTGTGTTCCCTTATTAAATTATTTTCATTCCACCGGAAGTACTCTTTCTTACTGACACCACATATTTTCCTACATATTCATCATTAAAGCCCAACTGTCTCCCTAAAGCTGCCAACCGTTCCGCTGCGCAGTGTACCAATGCCTTTAACTCACAATGCATCGCTCACTCCTCATTACGCCTTTCTCGATCGGTTTCTTAATTTTCTATCCATATCCCATTTTAAGTGAAACTGGTTTGCTTCGCTGAACAGACACAGCACCATGAGTGTTATAATCGAAAATTCCTGCTCTTAAACGTGGAAGTAGATCAGTATTCAACAGTAACAAAAAAGTCCACAGTATGACAGGTAAGACTGAAAATAAGCAAGCCTGACATTTCTTGCTTCATCAACGTCCACTTGCAGAACTTAAGGAGATGTAGTAAGAACTGATGCACTGTTGTGATATTTTTCAATCAACACGTAGCTTTATCGGCATTCTTCAGCGCTATGACCGTTAGAAAGTTCACCATCTTGCGATATAGCATTAAATCTAGTCGCAGGGCAGGGAGATACGATGTAATCAGATACGACAGTCAAGTATGTAGATAGTTCTGAATGAGCGTCCGCTATACCCCGAGCCCTTTCATTGCCGATCAAAGGCAACAGCTACGCGGCATAAGTTCAACAGGCCACCGGCAGGAACCGAAATCTACCGGAAACTGCAGCCTCATGTGGTAGGATTCTTAACTCGCTTATAGAGAAGGCTACTTGCACAAACCATGATCAGCAACGCATGCCGTTCTCTCTCAATCTTGTGCCACTTGAACAGACTATGCATTAGGCCAGGATGATGAAACAGTTCATTCGAACTTACGTATTGCTTCTTGTTCTATATGCTGCGCCTGTCTACTTCAGCGACCTCTCTGTGAAGCAACTCCATCGCCTAATCAAAAGCCTAGTGAAATTTCTGGGCTTTACATGCAACTGCGTGTCAGAGACGCCTGTGACAATTCTGATAAAGAGTCTGGTTAAAACAGCTGATAAACTCGGGAAGTCGATTCTGGCCGACCCAGTTCATCTTTTACATCAGTGCCTACAAACAAACCTATCGAACAATCTAAGCAATCGGTCAAATTAAGTACCGTGCAAATGTTGGACTGAGGCTTACAGAAAGTCTCTTATCACTTTCACGGTTAAGCGCTTAATCAATCAAAACAAAGAAGAACAGGAGCTGCGGAAATAACTCTGAAAATCTTGGCTGTCTGGCAAAATCACCATCGCCTTGTCTCCGTTATGCAGTGTTTTTCATTGATTAACATTTGTAAATATCATTTTCTGTCCGTGTTCCTTAGGGGACACTAGAGTAAAAATGAACGAATGAACGTTGCCGGTAATCTGTCTGCATTGGATACCAATATGTTTCTGTGCTTCTTGTGCACACTGCCTGTTCTGTCCAACGAAGTCTATATATTTTTTTGAAAAATACGTCCTTCTGATGCTGTACTAAAATCTGAAATCTCACTCTCATTATTATAGTCAGTCATTACTAACCGCCAACCTCCTGATGAAAGCAACGGGTAGACTTCGCCTCTTGCCTCGATTAATTACTGTTATAGACACAGCCTGAAACAGGAAGCAAAAACAAAACCAAACTGGTAGCACGGAAAGAAGGATCGTGCATGTTAACTACCTATTATGGAGAAGAGAGTCGGGGTTGTTCGATGCTTTGCAACAGCAGTTTCGTGGTAGATCTATTAGTTCCTTATTCAGCCAACGGCTGAGAAAGTATCAAAGCCGGTTGATGATCAGACTGTACAGAAATCAACAATCAGCTACACAACGTAAAAGGATTAAGTTGAATAAACAGTTTAAAACATTCGACTCTGTATGCGGATAATAATAATACAGTGGTTTCTTCATAATTAATGCTTCGAGACACCCATTCAATTTTGAACTCGTTACTCTCTTCGGACTGTGATGATGCGAGATACCACCATTTTAAAAGAGAGAAGGTTCGACTAATGACAAGTTTCTTTAGACAACATAATTCGACAAACAGCAGCGCCTCCAAATAAGTTGTTAATTACGTCAGCAAGGTTAAGTACGTAAATAAATTTGAAGTTCCTAGAATGAAAACATTTCCTTTTTTGAATTTCAAATATCGAAAACAACTAATGCCTTCGACAGAACTCTATATTGGACTCTTTTCGACCGATATGTGTTTAGACGTCTAACAAAGCAGCCCTCAGCGGCTCAAAATATTTAACAGGTTGACGTTGACTTTACCTCCGCCGGCCACACCGCCGGGAAACTGCATCTGCCCCGTGAGAAACACCACCACATGGTTCACGGCGTCCAAATTTTCTAGGGCAAACAAAAAGTGCGTGGCATCGATTTGACTGCAATTGGTTTGCACCTGCAAAACGAGTCAGTCGGTGAAACATGAAAAAAAAATTTTTTTACAAACAAAACACATTTATGCTTAATTCAGACACATGAAAAACGATTAATACCGGACGTCCAGCGACGATGACAGCAAACATCGCACTCATCCTACTTGTTCTCGGCGACCTTATTCAAGAAGAATAAACGCTCGGCATACGTACGATCGTAACTTGGATTATAAGGCTCTACCATGGCGCAAAGGAAAACTGGTTACGTAAACAAACACAAGAATTCACACAACACACAAGAATGGACTAACATTAAAAATTTAAGCAATATTCGTAAAGATTCTTGCATATTATCATAAAAATTGAGAAAGAAGTAAATTAAGGTAAAACAAATAAATCAAACTTGATTCAACAAACAACATTTGAAGCTTGAAAAGGTAAGACAACGGACATATGATGCATATGAAAATAGACTGCAGCATATATAATTTATACAAAGATGTGCAAAGAACATCAGGTAGTAAACGACTTGCATGGTATGGTGAAGAAAGTATTTACGAAAGTATTATTAGAGTATAAATGTAAAATGTAATTGTAATAATTAAATATCAATCCTGTATCATTATTATGCTTACTACAATATTAAATTATTTAACGATTCCATTCAAGCAGGAAATTTTTCTCTCCACAGCAAAACCGCCGATGCGTATTAATTGCAATGATGCTGATGATCAGCAATCATGAATCACTGAACAGAACAGATACGTAACAAGGAATTTGGCATTTCAACATGTCGTTTAGTTGTATTCCGTTAAATGTTTCAAAATGGATTAGATTTCATATACATGAACGTTACAAGAGCACAAATATTTTTATTTTACGGGTTGTATGTAATATTTAAAGACTAGAAGTGAGACCATTTTTTTGTTTCATTAACTTCGCAGCGAAGTTTCGTATTAATTGTGGAACATGTTTGAAGCGTGGTATAACTACAATACAGATACACGGTTTATGTAAGGAAATATGTTTCGGTGCAGTAACTTTCAGCTTCCACGCCCGCTTCTCCATTCGGGTTGCGGAGGCACACGTGAGACAATGTTTCCATCGTTCCAATTCTATGGTAGAATGTGAGCTTCGAAAGAAGTCAACCGGGGTCTAGAGCTAACCTCCTCAATTTGTTTGGATTAGGTTAAGCTTAGCCGCCCCCTGGACCTTCTGACGGTCGATTGGGCAAAAAATATTTGCAGGACTT